GCCCTGCCGCCCTGCCCTCACGGCTCCCCCGCCGGCCCTCCAGGCCTTCCTGCCCGGCCCTGCTGCCCGGCCCTCCCGGCCGGAGTCGGGCAGCGCGGCTCCGCCGCCCCGGGCTCTGCTCCTCAAACCCCCCAGGGACTGCGCCACACGGCCGGGACCTGCTGTAGGGCCAGAAGGGGTGTGAGGGGAGCAAGCTGTGCGTTTGTCCAGCATGCACTCGGGTCTTCTAATGCTTGGCTTTTATTGAGCTATGAAAATTGCTTTAGCGTCCTTTTCTAGATAAAGTAATTAAGGATGTGTGTTTGGCTTTCTGTCACTGAACAGGACCCTTAGAGGGGGTTAAGCCCGGGCGTGGGGAGGAGGTGGAAGTGACAGGACTCACCTTTGAGGCCACACAGCCCACACAGGGCAGCGAATGCTGCGGACTCCATCTCAATATTCCTCACGCCAGCGTCATAAGCCCTCCTTAAGTACTCCAACTTTTTTTCACTGGAAAAAGAGCATAATGCACCATCTAATCTCCCCTGACCTGGAAAGGAAGCAGAGAACCATCACTGTTGGCTGTGCATGGGGTCATGGGACACAGGGCCTAAGTGCAAATGGGAAGTCCAGCAGTGCCCACATTCTGTCTGAGGCCCACACAGTTTTCCTATGAGCAGCTGGTTTATTTGTATTCCCCTCACTGTTAAAGCCAGCGTGATGCATCTCTGTGTAGGGGAGAGAATGCTGCAGGTTTCAGCACTGGTAGAAGGTCGAGTCAGCCCACAGCTGGGAGGTACCAGGGGATGCTGTGCTCTGAGGGACAGGCCATTGCTGCATATCCGTTGTGAAGGCCTGCCAGGTTAAATCCCAAAAATGCCAGCTGACTGTAGAAGAGGTACAACAAGCTGTGCCAAATGGGAACACTGAAGAGAAGAAACCCCTTTAATGTGGGTTTAATTTTTCTGCAGGTGCTGCTGTGGATGGAAGCTGGAGCTGCTTGCAGAGGCATTCCTGCTGTGGGCAGCACCGGTGCTGGTCGGGGAGCTGGTCCCAGGGCACTGGTGCTCCCCCAGTGCAGCTGCAGGTACCGCTGCAGGCAGGACTAACGCTGGGTTCAGTGGGGGCAGGCACCCCGACCCTCTCCTCTCACCCCTCGGGGGCTCTGGCTGTTCTGCCCCATGCAGCTCCTCCTCTCGCAGTGGCTGAATGCCGTGGAGCAGGAAAATGCTCACCTGTGGCTGGGCCAGCCTGGGACTGCCCTTCAGTTTATTGCTGCTCCTGCTTTAATCCTCTCAAATGGCTTTTTGTTTAAATAAAATATGGACTTGAGCAATACACAGATGGCTGCATCTGCAAGCAGATCTAAAGGTTTATAAATAGCGCTCAGATTATTAATTCTTCATTTATTATGTTTCATCTACTCTGCAATCAACATTTAATTTTGCAAAGGAAACGGTTCCAGAGTAACCAAAGTTTGTTTATGGAAATCTCACAGGCAACCTAATGTTTTCCTAGTGTTTGGTAGTTCTGAAGTGACATCTTGCTGTAGGGGGGGAGCAGCTTGGCAGCAAACTCAGCAAGGTGCAAACAGAGGTACTGTGTGGTACTGTGTGTTCTGAGGGTACCCCTGCTCTGCCTGGGCCCCCAGCCCCACGTGGCTCTCTGCCTGCAGTGCTCCTGGGGCCTGGGTTCCCTGGATAGCTTTGTCCAAGGAAGAGGGAAAGACTTGGCGTGACATGTGGTGGGGAAGGACAAAGCAGGTTTTACCTTCGTAGAAGTCGTAGGTGCACATGGTATGGCCAATGAGCGTGGGGAAGTCGGGAATGTCCCTGCTGCAGGCGAGTAGTTCCTCCGCAAGGTCCTTGTCCAGCTCGGTGCTCCGCACCACCACATCGTCCAGCACCACCTGCTCAAAGCGTGGCTGGAAGGAGGAGTCCACGGCTGTGTCAGTGATCACAACAGACCCGGCCTCGATCCCTGTGGAAATGGAAGAGCTCATAACACCTGTGTCCTGCTGCCAAACTTCAGCACAATAGGAAGATCCAAGAGATCTGTGTGTGCTTGTGGGGCTCTTCAGTGAGTAAAGGTATCAGAGAATAATTGAAATTCATGGAGTACAGGTGTAGAAGTAAAATGTACAGAATCAGCACAAGTAAGTGATTGTGAGAATGTGCTGAGTGACAGGAGTTCAGCTGCTTCTGGCCAGCAGAGATCGTGTACCCCCCACCAACTTGTGCAGGCGTGGGCAGCACCACTGCCTCAGCCAGGGGACACGGATTCATTTGGGCCACCACTAACCCATGCTTTCTGTTTGGAAAGTGACACCTGGCTGTAGTGGAATCAAGGCCTTTGTACACTCTGAGAATGTGCACTCTGCCAAGCCACTCACTACAAGTTTTCTGGGTTTAACCCAAAACAAAATACCGTGTTTGATATTTAGTGACCTGATAAAATGCTGCAGTTCAGAACTGCAGGACCTATTGCTGAGAGTTCTTTTTAACAATAGCTCTTTTGTTCTGAAGAAAGACCATGAATCGCTTACCTAAGCCCCCAGAAGTACCGATGCGTATAATAGTAACGTCCCGGCATTTTGCATGGTGCAGCAGTTTGATCAGCTCATGAAGCATAATGGAAATGGAAGGGATGCCCATTCCATGCTGTTGGAAGGAGAGGAAAGAGAAACATCAGTCCCCAGAAGGCTGCAGCAGGTGACAGGTACATGATTGCAACGAGCTCAGGGTTATGCTGTGCCCTCTTCTGCTGGTGATGCCAATAGCAATTTTTTTGAGGGGGAAGAGACATCTTGGGGTCTTTTTAACCTCTTTTCCTCCCCTTGATGCATTAAAGGCTCCTCAAGTCAGTAGAGCTGGTGTTCATCCCCGGGGACCCTGTGTGGGCACACAGATGGTGCCTGTCCTTCAAGGAAGGTCCACAAATACATCCCAACATCTGAATGCTCCAAGACCTTCCCCATGCATTGCCAATCCTTACACCACATGCTGACTCGCACTTTGCTGTGTCCTGCTCATGCTCTGGAAGTGGTGAATTTCAATGAGGACAACCTGAGCTTGTCCATGTGCCTTCCAGCCTGTCCTCACCCCGTGCTGGAGCCATCTCTGCTACGTTGCTGGGCACAAAGAACAACGGGAGGGTTTGTGTCCCTCGGTGAGGCAGGCTTCAGGGTCAGGTGTTTGCTGTGTGCCTTGCAGACTGCTTGTCCCTCTTCCTGGCTCAGATTCCCTGCCCTGCTGCCCTTCTGTTCCCAGCACCTGCCTGGCTACTGGCTCCCCACTGCTGGCACTGGCTTGTTCCCATCCTCCACGGACCGTGCAGCCCCACTCCCACCTCTGCTGCTGCTGCTGCTGCTGGCAGATGTCCTGCAGGCCTGGAGCTGCTGGGGCTTCTGATACATCTGCCCAGTGCTCCCTTGCTTGGTCATCTGCCTTCTGCTCCACTGCTAGACCAACATCCTTTTCCTAGCTTAACTTTTAAGTACAAAAAGTGTTTGGTGCTATGGAGTTTGGTTTTTCGTCTTGAAAATGCCTCATATCTTTTGGTTTAGCTGTCATCTTCAAAAACCTGAAGGAAGCATGTATGGAAGCTCCATTGGTTAAGGTACACAGCCAACAAAAACAACAGTTTTTGTGTTGCTTTGTCTCCTTTCTCTTGTCTGTGAGACCAATGCTCTGTTTGCCTTGTATCATGTTTTAAATATGAAACCTTTTTACATGTTGTTATTCTGGAACATCAGCCTGGCTTATTCACCAATGCCTAAAAAATTTATTCTCATTGTAAATATTCAGAGCTGGAATCTGTGTTCCTGCCCCCGTATGTTTGAGCTCAGTTGTGTTTCTAAGCAACTTGCAGAAGCCTGATGTTGGCAGCTGCTCTGCATGATGCTTCTCAGGGCGGCCATGTGCTCTGCCCCGTGTCCCCTCCTGCACTGGCCAAAGCTGGTGCACTGCCACAAGCTCAGGGAGGATTTCCTTCTGGCTGTGTCACTGCTGCTGCCAGGCTGGGGAACAGCAAATCTTGTGGTGGTTCTCCCCCTTGGATCCCTTCAGACTCATTCCCTCAGGCTTGATTTCCTTCGTCAGGATTGGTTTGGTTTTGTCAGAGGAACAAAACATGATCTCTGTTGTGTGAATGATTCCATTTCCTGTGAGTCACATTTCAGACTAATCTTGTGCCTGAAGAAATGGTGTCAGGACCAAGCCTTTGGGTGGGAGTGCTCCCCAGCACAGCCTGTGTTTGCTTTTTCCTCTGTTCAGTACCAAAAATCCTGCTCTAAAACAATAATCAATAATAAGGCCAGTTTTTTCTTTTAGAGCTTGTATCAACACGATACTCCCAGCAACGTTTCATGGTTCATGTGTGGTGAGAAGTGGTTTTGCCTCCCAAAGTGAGCTGAGCAGAACATGTGCACGTCTGTTGTTAATGCGGCACTTTCCAAACGGAGAGCGCACGTGCTGGGGAATGCTCTTCAAGCAGAAGCAGCTCTGCCATGGCTGAGAGTGCCAGTAGTGGCTGAGGAGTGGAAAGAGGCAAAAAGCTGCTGGGGGATGCAAAGGCATGTGAGGGAGAGGTCGTGTGAGCCCTGGGCCAGTGGCCAGGGCAGACGGGCCCCGTAGCTGTGGGACCCACAGCAGCACCAGCAGCACCAGCAGCAGCACCAGCAGCACCAGCAGCAGCCCTGGCTGGCCCCGGAGCACGGTGTGGAACTCACGCTGATGGAGAGCACGGGCCCTGCCCGGTACATGGCGTAGCGGTCCGACCCCGCACAGATGTCAGCCACGTCCTCCCCGTCACCCGCCAGGCCCAGCTCCCGCTGCATGAACTGCGCAAACGCCCTCATCCTGTTCGGGCTGCCGCCAACGCAGACAAACTGCAGGGGAAATATCAGTGTGTTGGTACTTAAAAAAGTACAATATCAGTGTTGGTACCGAGCTGGAACATGGACCACGAGTCAGCCCGAATGTGGTGGTGGTGGCTGTGCCAGCTACATCGTCCCAGAGAAAGCAGCGGGATGCTGCTTCCTCCTCCTCCTCCTCCTCCTCCTCCTCCTCATCATCATCATCATCAGTCAAGGGACATTGGAACGACTGAGGGTCACAAAACCAGGAGCTAATGTGAAACCCAGGCTGTCACTGGCAGGGTGGTGAGTACCCTGGGTCAGGGCAGCCATACAGCTGCACATGATAGGTACAGCTAGATACACTTAGGTAGCAAGATACACTTGGGTATCAGTCCTAGGCAAGAAAATCCAAAATAAATCAGCAAATTTGAGCTGGTAGTATCACCACTGAAAGCAAAGCAAACCCAAATTGGTTAATTTATTCTATGAACAAGGCTGACTGCAATTAGTGAGCACTATTGATGGCACAGAGGCCATAAAGTCAGGGAGTAAAAAGGACAAATTTTACATATTAAAGGAAAATATTCTTGCTGAAGGCAGGAGGAGGATGAGTGTGTAGCTGCCAGGGCAATGCTGCTGATCCTGCTGCCAGGGTGCAGGGCAGCAGGAGCCCACGCTGTGCTGTGCCAGCCTGCTCTGGCCCTGGGCACCAAGGCTCTTCCCCCACAGGAGTAGGGAAAGACTCTGGTTTGACGTGAAAGAGAATGCCATCGTGACAAGTCAGTTTTGACAGCAGGTCTCAGCCAAAAATGATGACATCCTCTTTCCCTTGTCTCTAGTACACGATGATCAAGATGCTTTGGACAAATGCCCCCCCTGTCCTCCAACATGGAGCCAAAATCAGGTTTTACAGAGCTACAGGTTTTTAAAAGGGTAATTTTTTGTTGTAATTTCTGCCCAAACAAACCAGGACAGACAACCTCTTTGCCCAGGCTGCTTTGCTGCTGAGTCCCTTAGCTGAGCAGCCAGACCCCACCCCGCGGGAGCTTTGGCAGCAGCGGGGCCCTGGCGCGGGCTGGTAGCACCATGGGATGCCCAGCTGGAGAGCCTGTGCAGGGGGCAGCTGCTGCCTTGCTTTTGGACCTGCTCTTTACCTTTATGTCCCCAAACATTGCTGGCAGGTTGTGTGTCTTGGTTCCCAAGTCCAAGTGGTACAGGACGTCCTCCTCCATCAAGTCCAGGTGTGGGTTTCTAACAAGGACAAGCCCACTCCTGCAGGGAGACAAGGGGGAGATGGGTTGGGGCACCAGGCAGTGCCCACAGGGAGGGGGACAGGCAGTAGTGGGCACAGGGCAGTCTGGAAGTTCCACAAGCCCTGGTGTTGGACAAGGGATGGTACAGGGACAAGGGACAAGCCAGCTGTGTGTGGTGTTTGGACCAGCTGCTTCAGGTAACCTCTTTGACATGTCTGTTATTATATTTATGTATTTGGCAAAAAATATGTCTCTGTGTATCAATTTTGTCAATGGCAACCTTAGCTCTTTCCTTCGTAGGGTTTTGCCAGCAATGTCCAGGGGTGATGTACTGTGCTATTTTCTATGTGACAGTTTACTAAGCTCTTAGCAAACCAGGATTTCAGCTTGTCCCAAATAACTGCCTGGCAGGCTGAGTGCAGACACTGCAGGCAGCCAGAGACCAGCTTGCTATCCCTTTCCACCTGCTGTAAGAGATGGGAAGCAACAAACAATGCAGGTTAGTTTTATAAATGAGCCTTAAACTAAACCTTTCTTCTCTTATTAAAACAAATGCAGACGTTCCCCTGTTACTCACCCCGAGTAACCTGTTGTTTCAGTCATAGCGGCTCCACCAGAGTCAGCTGAAAGCGATACCCTGCCAACAAGGTAAGGAAAACACTGCCTGTGTCCTCAGCTGTGGAGGTTTAGAGCTCAGAAGAGGTTTCAAGGGGCTCTGCAGGGGCTTAAGTACCTCCTGTGTTTTGTGCACTCCCAAGGTCAACAGTGGCCAGTGCCCCCCTGCCCCTCCCGTGTTCGCTCGGGTGCCAAGGCTCCTCCTCGGCTGGCACGGTTCCTCCCAGACTGGCTTTTTGGGCAGGTGCGTCACCAATAACCTTGACTGGCAGCCCTAGGGCTGGAGCTGGTGACCTTCTGGCTCTCTGGCCAGTGACCTTGTGCCCTCTGGCCGGTGGAGTGGGCACTGGGCATGTGGCTGCACATGTGCACCCTGGGGAGTTTGTCTGAGCTGGATGTTGCCATGCTGCCACCCTGGGCTGTGTTTCCTTGGCCCTGGGGACTGGAGGACATTGACAGCCCGGCCACTGCTGCTGGCCTGGACACTTCTGCCGGCTGAGCTGTTCTCTGGCCCCAGTAGGTGCAAATCCAAAACATCCCTGCATTTGTCTGGAGTGCACAAAACGGAATTTGGGCTGTAGGAAACCCCCAGCCCTGCTCAGAACAGCTTCTGGACCACCAGCCTGGCCTGGGGAGGCTGATTTCACTCTCAGCAATGCCCAGACAGCGCTGTTGGTTCTCGTGGTTCACCCAGCCCCATCTCAGCCCCGTCAGGGCAGGGTGCAGTGTGCCGGGGCAGCCTTGCACAGGTCCCAGTCCAGGGCAGCCAGAGTGCCCGTGGGGCTGTGGGACCAGTGTGTGATGCTCCTGCGGGAGCAGGACACTGGGGACACTGTCCTGCTTCCTGTCCCAGCAACAGGAGGCACTGCCCTGCAAGGGATTTTAGGCAGCTGCTGGAGGGGCAGAATCTGGCATTTGCTGTTGGTCTCTGGGAATTGTCAGTGGAAGCTCTGATAATTAGAGAAGCCCTAGGTAATTAATTACTGGGTGAAAACACATTGTGTGGGGCTCACTTGCTCCCTGCCTTCAGGCAGTGACAGGGTCCTGCTTTCCTAAAGAGGAGGGCCAGAAATTGTTCTAACTGGGGAAGCCTTTCCCTGAGCAAATGCCCATTCTTCTGCCCATCCAAACCCTATAAATTGCAAAACCCGGTATAAAAATAAGGAAACACTGCAAGCCAGTGGCCTGGGAACATGTAAATTTGGTACCTTACCCAAGACAGGGTCAGGATAGCTCTGAGAAGGGGAAGGAGCAGAGCTCTCAGGGATATTTCAGGTTTGCTGGAGTCATACCAAAGGCAGGCTGGAAGGATTTCTCTGCTGTGATGAAGTTCTCCCTCCCTGGATGCTGTTCACATATGCCTGCCAAAAGTGACTTATTACTGACGCTCCACAGCACTCCTCAGGAATAAGGATCTGGAGACTCTTTTCCCTTTCAGAAAGCACCAGATTTCTGCAAGGGGCACAAAAAAGTTTCCTTGGGGCTGCACACACCCGCCTGCCAAAGTCACTCAGTGCGATTGCTGTGATTTCAGGCACACAGTGGATTGTGCAGTGGGCTCCATGGAGAGCTTCCAGTCATGTCCAGTGAGAGTTACCTGATCTGGGGAACAGAGGCAGAAGGTTCAAACCATCCCATGATGAAACAATTTTCCCGAGGACGTGAGCAACTTCTTATATACTTTCTTATGGAAAATGGTGTTCCAGCACAGGCAGCTGGGACATCCCTGTGTTGTGGTCAGCAAAGCCCCTGCCCTGCCCTGCTGCAGCCTCTGCCCCTGGTGTGCTCAGCCCCAGGCAGGGACCTCCCCTGTGCTGGCAAAAGGGGCAAGATTTTGGAGGGTGGCCCTGCTGAGTGAGCAGGGACAGAGTCCCCTGGAGCCACAGCTCTGTGTGGAATGTCAGGCTGAGAACTGATGGGCAAGCAATGTTCCTGTGGTGTTTGTCCCTGCCGTGCCCAAGGTAAAAGGAACCAGCGTGTTCTGTTTAAGTAAACACGATTGCACCAAGAGAAATGGTTGAATTGTGCTTTTGGCTTCCCTGAAGTGGCATTGAAGAGAAGGGACAGCAGCCACCACCATGGCCATTCAGGTTTCAGGGTCAGCTCCCTGCCTGGCCAGTATGTAAAGTCCCTCACCTTTGGTTCCTTCATCCATGATTATTTTTCCCCATGGTTGTTCTTCTTTGTGATGGCTTAAAGTAAATCCCAAACTGAACTGTGGCTGCTCTTTTCCTACCTTTCCTGCTTGCCATGGCAGAGGCTGCAGAATGGAATGGAATAGAATAACACAAATAGAGTTTAATCGAATAAAATAGAATAGGAAATGGACTAGGATAGGATAAAATACTGAGATAAAATGCTTCATCAGTTAAAAGCTGATCTGCAGTGCTGATCTAGCCCAGCTGCCTGCCTGTTCCTCGAGGCAGCATGGGGAGGTGGGGATGGTGAGAAGCAAAGAGCACTGTCCCAAGTGAGTGTTTGTTTGTGCCTGATTCAGAGCTAAATCCAGCCTCTCCAAGTGCCAGGCAGCGGAGCTGTTACCATATGTGCTAGAGGATGACAAATAAAGCACGATGAAGTATACGGCAGAGTGACATATGGCAGCGTAGACAGGCTCTCGGCAAGGGAAGAGCTGGGGAGAGCCAGCTCTTGCCCATCCGACACCTCTTGTCATGTTAAATGCTATTTTAGAGCAGACAGCGATGGCAGCCTGTGCGCGGCAGGCAGCTCGCACCCGCCGTGTCCTGCCAGGCTCTGCCCCGGCAGCTCCTTCTCCGCTCGCCTCGGCTCTGCCTTCCTTCCTGCGGTGCTGCTGCTGCTGCTGGAGCTCCCTGGAGCTGCTGATGGATGGATGAGCTGTGCAGCAGCCTGGAGCTCAGCCCCGATGGATGAGCTGTGCAGCAGGCTGCAGCTCAGCCCCGATGGATGAGCTGTGCAGCAGCCTGGAGCTCAGCCCCGATGGATGAGCTGTGCAGCAGGCTGCAGCTCAGCCCCGATGGATGAGCTGTGCAGCAGCCTGGAGCTCGGGCTGGGCAGGAGGGGCAGCTGCTGCCCGTCTCAGGAGTGCGCTCCTCCAGCACCCCCGGCAGGGCACGACAGCCTGTGCCCAGCCTCATAGCTCTGCTTCAGCAGCAGAGAGCTGATGAACATTCACAGTCCGAGATGAACATTCACAGTCCGAGATGAACATTCACAGTCCGAGATGAGCATTCACAATCCGAGATGAGCATTCAGAGTCCGAGGGATGCCTTGTGCATTCCTCCAGCGATGGTTCCTGGCAGTCGGCACGGGTGAGCAGCAGAAGCACCGGGCAGTGTTTTACCCCACAGGGGGAAGGCCAAGTGCCAGCAGCACAAAGATTTCCTGCTGCCCTTACCCGCCCTGTGCTGCGGAGCCACAAAAGCGAGCACAGGCAGCAAAATGTGTATTTTTATCAGCTGTTTGCTCTGGCTTCATGTTTTGCCTTGTTTATTATTGGTATAAAGCTGCTCTTGGCATTGGGAGCAGACAGTAAAACACTCTCCAAAGCAACCAGGCTCCACAAACCCTCGGGGCACTCGAGTAACTGCGGCTTGTCAGGACATGTTTCCCCTGAGGGGAAGCACTACCGCAAAGCCATTTATTTCAGGCAGAAATCAGCTGCCTGACCTGTGTCGCTATTGAGGATTTACTCGGGAGCTGCTGATGTGCCAGTCCCGTGGCGCTCCGAAGGAGGCGCTGAGAGTGCAGCCGCTCCACTGCAGGAATGCTCCTTAGAGCTGGGGACAAGTGACTTTCCGTGACTTTTCCCACCATTCCCTCTCTGCAGCCTTGCCCATGGCATGTGGGATTCACCCTAGGAACAGGCAGGGATTTGCCCGGAGCTGCCAGGGCAGGCGGGGGGCTGTGCCTGGCCGTCCTGCCCTGCTGGGCTCCCGCGGGGTGAGGACACGGGTGGCAGCCACGCACGGCTGCCCTTGCAGGCTCAAGGAGCACCAGGCTGGCCCCGCACATGCCTTGGGAAAAGGGCTTTGCTTGGGATTAAAGGCAGCTCCTGGCTGGGGTTGGTGCTGGTTTGCTGCAGGAGCAGGGGTCCTGTCCCGGCTCTGCCTGATTCCACATGGATTGCTGCTGCATGTCCTGGAGAGACTCCTTCCATGGCCCCACATGGATCCACTTCAGCAGCAAATGTTGCTTCTGGCATCTCGCTTCTCCCACTGCTGAGTTCCTTTTGTGCCTCCAGGCAGGATAAAATTGAAGTGAGAGGGAAGATGAAGAGTGGGGCAGTTCAGCAACAGGGACCTCTCATCCTCTCTGGGGTAGGTTCCCCCTTGCCTTCCTCCATGCTGCTTTTTGTTCCCTTCACACGGCAGGGATGGGTGAGCTGCTCCAGCCCTTCCCACCCCACAGGGATGTGTGAGCTATTGCCTGCTGGAGGTACCCACAGAGGTTTGTGTAAATGCCCAGTTTGCTGAGACAGAGCAGGGATGTGGCTCCGGAGACCGGCTGTGCTGGGAGCAGACACAGAATCGGAACCTGCAAGCCAGCACCTCTCTTCTTGCTCCCTTCCTGCCTGGTGCTTCTCTGCTCTCCAGCCTTTGAATCCAGATGGTGCCTTGGGCTCTTTTCCCCCGTTTTCTTTTATTTTTCTTACATGGGTATTTTTATCCTCTTGTCTTTTGCTCTTTGGGCTTGTGGGTGCCTGTTGCAGCCACTGGTGCCTGTGGATGCAGGCAGGAGGGAGGGCTGGGAGGAGATTTCAGCTGCAATAACGCAAATGACGCAAGGCCCGAGCACAGTTCATAAAGCCATGCCGCTTGTCAAGCCAAATCACGTCTCAGAAATGGGACGAGGAACAATTTCCCAACATGTGGGGCTTGGGTGGCTGAGCCCCAGCACTGTGCCCCAAAGCACACTCCTGCCATGTGCCCCGCACCGGTGGAGTGCCCACAGCTGGAGCAGGGCTGGAGCATGGCATGAGGTGGTCCTCAGCCCTGGCAGTGTGGTGGGTTGGTGGTAGCTGCTGTATCACCTCATGTGCTGGATTTGTCAGGATCTGAGCTCACTGAGCACGGCTCTTCTGACACTCTCCTGCTCCATGGGGGATTAGGGGCTTCCATGC